CCCCCCCCCCAAGGCTCAGACTCTTGGGCCTGGCCACTCAGGTCCTTCAGTGAGGGAGGAGGCGAGGCTCTAAGGCGGGGTGTGTGGGACAGCGGAGCAGGGGAGAGGCGGGGAGGCCTGGGGAGGGGTAGGAGGGGGGCGCTCAGACGCGGCGCGAGGCGTGGGCGTGGACTTGGGCCTGCGGCCGGGGGGGCAGGCCCAGGAGGAGCAGCAGCTGCAGGGAGACCAGGACGCCCAGCGACGGCGGGAAGGAAGCTCCGCGGCCACAGTCTGAGGTATCTTCCTGCGGGAAGAGGCAAGGAGCGGGTTGGCCCGGGCGGCCCGGGGAGGGGAGGGGAGGGGAGCGCCAAGTCAAGTGCGCCGCCCCCTCCTCACCGTCGCGTTGTAGTCAAAGCAGATGTGCGGGCCTCTGCGGTATCGCGGTCTCTGCACCAGTTCACACTGCTCCGGGCCGTCCGCTGGGCATGGGTGGGGAGTCAAGGAGGCGGCAGGGCACGGAGGGGCGCGCGGGGCAGGAGGGGGCGCGCGGGCGGCGGGGAACGGCGGGGGCAGGATACAGTGTGTCTCTTTCTGCAGCAGCCGGCCAGCCTCACACTGGCTGCACAGCGGCTTCTCGGCCACCACGAAGAGAAGGTTGGTGTTGGTCAGTCTCTGCGCGTGGAACAGCCTGGAGGCAGCACGGGAAGGAGGGGCGTTGGGACTCGCCCCGCCCCTCCCCTCCCCGCTGCAGCCCCGGCTCCGCCCCGGGCCGCGCCCACCCGTCCGGTCCCGCCCGGTCCTCCGGTCCCGCACCCCGCGGGCACCTGGAGCAGTTTCCGCAGTCGATGATGGCGTTGTAGGAGGCGTTCACCGGCCCGAAGTAGTACTGGGTCTGTTTCATGACGCAGCTGCTCTCGCGCGCCTCGGGGCTCCCCTCGGCCTCCGCGGGGTCTGCGAGGGCCCAGAGCGCCTCAGCCCCACCCATACGCCCTGGCCGGCTCTCGGGCCTCGGCCTCGCTCAGCCGTAAGCCCCGCCCTCCCTTTGGGGTGGGTCTGAGCTTAGACTGGGGGGAGGGGGTTCGAGGAGGGGCTTCCAAAGCCCTACCTACCTGCCTGGAACCAGCTATGATAGATGAGGCCGTAGAGAAGCTGCTGGAACAAGGACCTGCAGGGCGTGGATCACTGAGTGGGAGTGGTCACCAGAGACCAGTGCCCTGCCGCACCACCTCTCTTGAGCCCTCCTGCCCAGAGAGCACGATCCCTCCGCCCCCTCCCCCCTGGGACTCACCAGGCGGCAGCCGAGGTCCACCAGGCCAGGTTAAGGAAGTCTGCAATGGTGGGCTGCGGTGGAGAGAGGGGCATGGGCTGCCACGGCTGTCCCTGGACCCGGGTCTCCCCCGCCCATTCTCTCGTCAGAGGTGGAGCATCATCTGTGGGCAGGTCTCCCAGGCCCCCCCGCCCCCGCCAGGCATCACTGGGGCTCACCACAAAGACGCCCCGGGGTGCAGCACCCAGGTTGCCCGGCGGCTGGGGAGCGCAGGCTGCCTGATAGTCGTAGGACTCTTTGCGGGTGTAGAAGGAGTTATTGTAGAGTGCCAGCATCAGGTTGGCATCCACCTCACTGAAGAACCTGCCCACCTAGGAATGCCAGGAGGGAGTGGTAGTCACAGGGCTGGCAGGGCCACACGCCCAGAAAGCTCAAACCCTGGCCCCCTCCTTCCTCCCTCTTCTCGACCCTCACCTGGTCCCACTGATGATTCTGGTTTGACAGCACCAGGAATCCCCCATCGTCAATGAGGACACAGAGAAGGTCCTGAGAGGTAGGGAAGGGGGAGGAAGATGGAGAGGGGCCCAGGCCCAGACCTTCCTCCCCAGACCCTGGCAGTCGGGTGGTTGGGTCGAAGGGGCACAGTTCTGGTAAACCTGTGAAGTCGGGGTGGGACGTTGAGACCCCCCCGCCCCCACCAGGCCAAGGGATGGGCTAGGAGTCGCAGTTGGGACAAGGAAGTCTGGGATTGGGGTAAGCTAGGGTTCAGGGCACACGTACCTCATTGTTAACCTCGCAGTCCATCTCACAGTGGCTGTTGGGGCCACACTGCTGGGCAGAGAGCAAGGACCATAAGGTGCCTGCCAGTTCCCCCCCTCCCATCACACTTCCGTACTTCTGGGTCCCCAGGCCATCTGCAACAGCCACTGCCTCCCCATAAGGCACAGGAACCACTCTGAGTGGTAGGGGTTCCTGGGGGGACTCGGTACTGCTGGGCTTACTGCCCCCACCCCGGCCCAGGTACCTTCTGAGGCTGGTCCTGGTGGGTACGGTTGCTGGCTAGCACCTTGAACTTCTCAGCCCAGGCCTCTAGGTCCAGCTTAACACCTACCACTATAGAGGACAGCAAGGGGCCATCAATGCCCACCTGCCTGGGCAGCACCCTGCCCATCGTCTCTTTCCCCACCTCCGCCCCAGGCATTTACCTGCTGGCCTCAGTGTGTGTCCGCCCAGGCTTAGCTCCACAGCCGTGCTGACGAGGATGCCCACCGTGTCATTCTCCAGCTCCAGTGGCCTTAACAGGGCTGGAGGTAGGGTGGGGAAGTCAGGAGTAGGGGCTGGTGGCCACACTGACCGCTCTGTACTGGGCCTGTGGACCCAGGAGCCCAAGCCAAGCACCCAGTACCCAAGGTAGTGCTGGCACAGCCTAGCTCTGTCTTCTCATCACTCCCAGTCTCGGCTAGCCTCATGTTTGAGAGGGGCCTCAGAGAGCAGAGCCCAGCCCTGGCCGAGCAGACAGCGAAGCCTCAACTTCCCAGCTGCTGGGCACGTGGGAGGACACTCACCATCCTGGTGTGGGGGTTTGAAGACATAGCCGTGGTTGTCCAGGCTACGGCGGTAGAAGCTGGCATTGAAGGGCTCCGGGTTCTCTGTCCAGTCCTCAGCTGCTCTGGTTATCCGAGACAGAGGTTGGTGGAAAGGGGGGTGGGGTGGGGGACAGTGTCTCAGCAGGTGCAAAGAGGCCTATGGGCAGCGGGACAGAGGCAGGGTCCCGGGCGGGAGCAGGGTGTCGGGTGGCAGCGTAGGTCACTTACTTGTTGGGGAATACGCGGGTGATGCCGCCGTCCGTGGCAGCGAACACGGCCAGAAGGCTGTACCTGGGGGGCAGCAGGGAGGTGAGTCACAGGCCAACCTTCTTCAGGACAGGGCCAGGGCCTCTGGGCCCATCCCAGCCTCCTGCCCCCCACAGGCTGGGTGGTGCCTACGTGTTGAGGTCCTGGTCCCGCCACGCGCGCTCCACCAGCTGCTGTGTGATGCCCGTGTCCAAGATCAGGTTGTGCAGAAGGAAGTTGTTGCCTGCAACGGGAAGGTAGGGGTGGAGGGGGTGGCTTCTTGTGGCTTCCTGCCCCCTCTCCCCCACACACCCAAGGCTCCAGTAGGAGCCTTCCCCACTGCCTGGCCCAGGCCCTGCCCTGGGCTTGGGTCTGCATCACACCTGCCCGGTCTCTGGCTTCTTTCGGGCTGCCCCCTTGGGGTCTGGGCACTGCCCAGACCCGGCGGCCCCACCAGGCACTCACACTGCTTGGAGTCTGGAGTCACTTTCTCCATGAGCTCAATGAAGTTTTTCAGGAACTCGGTGTTGTTGTCTGAGGCATTCAGGTCCTTGCAATACTCTCTGGGGGTGGGGAGGGGCAAGAAGAGTGGGCTTGGGGGGCTGGACAGAGCAGTAGGGTTGAGGCTTCCCAACAGGCCCGCCTGGCCATTGGCTGAGAAGCCCGGGCCTCAGCGGGGCATGGGTATTCCTACAGGCTACGTGCCTGGCAGGCTGCCACGTCTGAGTAGGGACAGAGCTGACACAAGAAGGATGGTCCGCGTCCTCCAACCTGGCAGATTCTCCCTCCTGGGGATAGCCCTGCGGAGCCTCCCACCCCTCCTGTGTAGCTGGACCCAGATGGCCCCCGGGGGAGGCCCCAGGGAAGGCCCCCCGGCCGGCTCGTCCCCCTGTATGCTGTAGTGTTCCCGAGGGCACAAGGTGGGTGGGCAAGTGCCAGCACTGCCTTAGTCAGCCTGAGTGTGAGCCCTCAGCCTGCCGCTTCCCGGCCTGGCACCTCTGGACAACTCACTTAAGCTCCCCGAGCCTCAGATTTTTCCATCGTACCACAGAGGGTGTCAGGAAGTCAGTGGGAATGCGTGGGGCCTCCGACTGGTGATTCCTTCTGCCCGGGATGCTCTTCCCCCAGAGGTGGACAGGCGAAACCCCTCACTTCCTCAAGGCCCTCGCTGGGCTCAGCCTCTGGGTCCAGACAACGTGGGAGCTTTGGGGGCACGGGAGGCCTGCTTAGGGCTCTGCTCCCCAGGAAGTCTGGTAGATGGAGCTTTCGCTTCTGCCCAATCGCTCATTCACACCCCTGCCACCAGAGACCTCCCCACTGGCCTGGATGCCGGCAGCCTTGGGAGTTTTTTGAAATGTGCTGCTTCCCTAGGCTGTGCCCACGGTTTGCTGAGGGCACCTGCTTCGGGGTCTCAGTCCCCACTTGCTCTCTGGCCTCAATGGCCTTTGTGCAGTGCGCAGCCTGTACTTCTGTGGTAGGGGGCACGGCTGACACATCCAGAGTGACACCCGTAGGTTGTGCTTCAGCTACAACTCCCCTGCAGCCCCTCCCCCCTCCCCAACAACATGTACATTTATAGCTGTGGATTACTTCATTTGCTCACCCAGCACATATTTATTGAGTTCTCCCAAGCCAAAGATACAGAAGTGACAAAAACAAACCCAGTCCCCTCTCTCAGGGTCACGTGGGCCACCCAGGCCTTTTCACTCATTCCCACCATCACTCATGCCCACAGCCCACCCCACAGTACATTCAGACTCTTACAAATGTACACAATTACTCACAAATACAAACACACATCTACAGAGAGTCAAGAGAAATTGGTGGGTGCATGCACACACGTGCACACACATGGAGGTTAGGAGTGTCCAGAGCCCCCGGGTAGTGCCTGAGAGTGCCCATGGGTCCAGAGCCAGGTCACGGGGGAGGGCTTCACCATGGGGCGGGGGGGCTGTTGGTCTCCTCACTTGTGGGCCAACAGGCAGAGGGTGGGCACCCAAGGATGTGCGTGTGCATGCTGAGTGTGCACTTCAGGGATGGTCCGGGGCGCTGGGCCCTGACCCCTCACTTGCCAGAGCAGCTCTTCGAAGCCCTTGTACTCCCCACCTCCCCCAGTCCCCTGTGAGCCACCACCCCTAAATTCAGCACTGCCGACGGGGGCTCTGGCTGGCTCATCCCCAGACCCACACAAACACTGACTGACACAGGACAAGGCTGGGGTGCAGGGTGGGGGGTGGGGAGGGCGCCACAAACCAGAGCAGCAGCTGCCCAGGGAGGGGTGTGCTGCGGACAGCCTGCCCAGGGCAGAAAGGGTCCTTCCTGGTGGCCTGGGAGGGCAGGGAAGATCGGCAGAGCCTGGAGCCCTCCCGCCCCAGGCCTGGTGGGGGCTGGAGCTGTGGGCAGCTGGCCACTGCTGCCTGGTGGGGCGGCATGGCCCGGGTATGCACAGGGTCGCACATACAGGGCTATGCACGGGGCGGGGCGACACCGCACAGGACACACACACACACACACACACACACACACACGCACGTGCGCAGACACACAGAGCTCCAGGCAGCCGTGCAGGAGGCAGGGCTGGGGCGGTTGGGGTTGGGGTTGGGGAGGACACCTCAGCAAGGCCACACGCAAGCTACCTGGGAGCAATGAAAACATGTCCTTCAGACTCAAAGCTGCTGGGGAGCAGGAACTCAAAATCTGCAACAGAAACGGGGGGTTATCCGGCGGGGGCTGGGGAGGCAGGAGGCCGGGGGGCTCAGAGCTGACGGGGCTGGAGGGACAGGGAAGAGGGTGGCTTGAGGGAGGGGGGAGACACCAGCAAAGAGGGAACCCGCCACTTCCACGTTCAAGTTCGAGCCAGAGAGAAGGGGCGGGCGGGGAGGGGGTGGAGGGCCTGTGGTGACTCCGGCATCGCGGGAGGAGGGCAGTTATAGCCAATATGTTGCCCAGGCCCGGTCCTCTGTGGGCAGTGAGTCCCGTGGCATGGCTGTATGTGCTTCCATATGGCTGTATAGCACATATACACGGACACACACACACACATATATATACACACACTGCTATATATATGCATGGTCTGGGGGAGGCACCGGTCTCGCTCTTATCACGTCCGTAATGGAAAACACCGCATGCTGAGCTTCCTTTGCCTCCAAAGAGACTTTGAGGAAGGGAATTGGCTTTTGGCTGCAGATTTTTATCTCTCTTTCTTTGCTGCAGCTGTTTGCATTTTTGGTAGGTCTTACTTTTGTTCTGTGTCAGGCATCAACATGGCCAAACCGAGGGGATTTCTCACGGGCAGAGACAGTCCAACCAGAGACGGTGTGGGCAGCTGGGGCTGGGCTGCAGTGCATTGTGGGGGTCCCGCGGTCCTTCCTGGGCTGGGAGGCTGGGTGAGGGCAGAGGGAGAAGAATGGGCCTCCACCCTTCCTAGGACCTGCCTGGGTTCAGAGCAGCCCAAGAGGAATGCTGGGGCTCCAGAGGAGCTGTGGGGTGCTCTTGAGGGATCCTGTGCGCATGTTTGAGAGAGAACACATACGTACATGGGAGAGGATGTGTGTTTGCATGAGCGTGCATGTGTACGAGTGTCTCTGTGCGGCTTTGTGAGTGAATCTGGGGTTTCTCTGGGGCCTCTCCCTGCCAGGCTGGATCAGCTACCTGGCTGGTCTGCATCTTGGAGGCATGCCCCTGCCCCTTGGCCTGTTGCACTCTGGGCAGCCCACCTTCCAATCCTGTCTTCACCAAGGTTCCGACCTCTTTGTCACTGTAGGGCTTTATTTTTGCAGAAGAGGGGTCTTCTCTGTTTCCAGATACTCCCACAATGCACTGCAAGATTCCGGGAGGTGGACCTGGGGTGCCTGGAGGGGCTGGGCAGTCACTGGTTGGACTGTTGCTTTCTGATGGGACTATGAGGTAGGGTTTGGACACAGGCCGACAGGGAGCGGGGGTAGGGGAGGGGAAGGAGGAGAAAGAAAAAGGAGGTAGGGAGACTAGGCTATAGTTGTCATTGTTACCAGAGCCCTGCATTTCTGGGGACACTGGGAGGGATGTGGAAGGAGGAGAAAAGACAACTCAAGCCAGTGGGAGTAGGGCCTGTCCCCCACCCCGACCCAGGCCACGGGGACCAGCTCTATCCCTTTTGCTGGACTAGGCTGGACAGGGCCCCTTGGGCTTCTTGGGGAGCCCTGGCTTCCAGGCCATCCCCTCCTGGCTCTCTGTGCCCATCTGCCCCGGCACTCCCTGGGAGGGGTGTCTCTGTGCACCGATGGTAGAGACCCTCGCATGTTTCTCTCTCTCGCTCCCCTTATTCTCCACCCAAGTCTGGGAGTTCATTGCCTACCTTTCTCCGGAGTCTCTGGCTTGGACTATGTCTAAGTGCCAGAACTTTTTTCTTCACTCCCAGACTGATTCCCTCCAACCTGTTTCGCTGGCCCTTGGGGTCCAGACACATTTCCTTTCTTCCTGGCTAGGCTCACCATCCCCGAGTCTGCTTTTATTTCCCAGGGGAACACCTTCTTCATCGCTGACCACCTGCCCCAGCGGCAGTGGGTACCGCGGTTGGGCTGGGCCAGTGGGCTTTAGCAAAGTGGTAGGGGGCAGCAGGGGACAGGGGTGACAGCACCTAGGCAGGTGCCCAGGATGGTTGGGTCTGCCTTGCTCTCCCAGTGGCGTGGCTGATGCCCTATCCTGCCCATCTCAGAATCAGGGTGGGGGGCTTCCAGAGCCTTCTGTCACCCCTTGGAGGGCTGTCAACTTTGGACCAACTGGCAGAGATCATAGCGGGGAGAACTATCCCAGAGGAAGCCTCAGGTGGCTGGGGCTTCCCTTTCCCATAAGCCTCTCATAAGCCCTGCTGAGGACTCCTCTAGCCCCTGTCTATCAGGCCCCTTGCCCTGCTGGGTGGGAGGTGGTGGAGAGGCATCGAGCCCACTGTTGAGTTGTCTTGGAGGGACAGAGAAGGTGGGGATGGGCAGGGACCTGCCCAGAGGGAGCAAGGAGGATGAAGAGGGGGGCCTGAGCTCTCAGAACACCTGGAGACCACCCTGCAGGCAGGGCCAGGAGCAGGGCCGCTGGCTGTAATAGGGGTTTAGGGATAAGGGAAAAGGCAAGAACTAGAGGAGCCAAGGGGATGCTGGGAGGGAGCCCTGGAGAGCAGGGGTTTGGCTGGTCCTGGGCAGGGAGGGGGGCAAGCAGGGGTGTGAGGGTGGGTGGGGTGGGGAGAGGAGAGTGCACTGGTTCTGAATATACTTGCCCTTCAGTTTGCTGATTGGCACTGGGACAGTCCACCAAGAGAGAAAGCGAGGAAAACAAAAACAACACAAACACAAAAACAAACGAAAAGGGGGAGGGAGAGGGGGGGCACAAACAATATTTTATTCAATGGCTGTTTGAATGAAAATATTGTGTCTCATCATCATACCGAAAGGAAACTTCTTGCAAAAAAACGACATGAGAGAGAAAGAGAGAGCGAGAAAACTCAAAGGAGATGAGCCCGGGTTGGCCAGGCAGGTGGGGGGCGCCCGGTGGGGCCGGAGCCCCAGCCTCCCTCCCAGTGACCTCGGGCGGTGGGCAGGCGGGGCCGCAGGCTCCCGAGGCCTCTCGGGGGAGGCCCAGGGTGAGCAGGACATGCAGGGATGAGCCACAGGCAGAGGAGTGGGAAGGAAGGAAGGAGAGAGGTCCAGAGAGGAGGAGAGAGGGCGAGGGAGGAGGAAGAAGAGGCAGAGAGGGTGGGATGGGGAAGAGAACAGAGGGAGGGAGGGAGAGAAAGTAGGGATGCTGGGGTAGGGGAGAGAGGGAGAGAGCAGAAGGGAGAGGGAATGGGGGAGACAGAAGGTGGGGATATAGGGAAAGGAGAGAGGAGGAGGGAGGGAGAGAGAAGGGAGAAGGGGAGAGGAGGAGGAGGGAGAGAAGTGGGGAGAGGGAAGGGCAGTGGGGGTCGGAGCAAGGTGAGAGGGGCGGCTCAGGGAGGAGGAAAATGGAGGAGGATGAGTGAAGGGGGCGGAGTAGGGGGAGAGAGAGAGACCCTGCGGGGGGGGGGGGGGGGCACCACAGGGGGAGAGAGCTATAGGGCACAGGCGAGAGGAGAGATGAGAGGGGGGGTGTCTTCCAAGAATGCAGCCCCCAGGGGTATGCGGGGGAGGCAGGCTAAGGAGGGAAGACACGCAGTAGGAGAAACTAAAACCAAAAACCTCAACGGAAATCATGAGAGAATGATCTGGAACCAAATCTGAGAAAAGGCGAGCATGCAGATTTCCACAGACTTTCCGACGGCTGGTGCCCCAGCCTGCGGGCGCCTGGGGGGTGGGCAGACTGGGCAGGGGGGGCTGCCTTGCCGCCAGTGGCTGGCTATGCTGCCTGGGGCTGGCCAGGGTGCGGGGCAGAGGCAGGGGTGCAGGGCGCAGGCAGGGGCTGGGCCACTTACACTTGACCTGCAGGATCTGGTCGCTGAGGTTGGCTTGGAGGTAGAAGGTGCTGTAGGGCGGGAGCACAAGCCCTAGGCTAGGGAGGAGGGGAGGGGAGGAGCGTATTTCACTGCTGGGGAGAGGTGGGCCACACTGGCATCCGGCCCCCCACCCCATGGCCTCGGAGCCAGGCAGAGTGGCCCAGGCTATGACGTCCCCTCTCCTGCCCACCAGGGCCACCTTTCCCTGTTAGCTGTGGGAGATTCAGTCCCCGAACTCTCCTGGAAGCCTCAGAATGACCAGCCCCAAAGCAAGTCCCCCCCCCCACTCCCCTTCCCCCAGCAGCCCCTCCCGCCCCAGGTACCCAGCCGGCCTCCTCAATCAGGCCAGCAGCAGACTCACAAGGGGCAGAGCACTGTCAGTGAGCTAGGCTGTTGGGTGCACAGCCGTGGGAGTGGGGTCCTCGGTCCCCAGAGACTTAGGTCATGTGCAAGCCAGTGAGAAGCAGGGCTGGTGCTAACACGGTGAGGAGCAATCACAAGCTGGGACTGGGGTGGGAATGAGACCGGCTCTGGGGGGCACAAGAAGACAGCCTGCACGGCCTGGGCCTGACCCACAAGGGTACCTCCTCCGAGGGCTGTGGTGCCTGTTGACAGCCAGCCTGGGGATGTGCTGAGGGTGACATCCTGGGTGCAGATACCCAGGGATACGATCCAGGCAGGGGTGACGTGAGAGGGTGGTGTGGCATGGGGAGACATCAGATGCACTGTCTTGTCTCTGTCCTGTGCTCCCAGGAAATGGCCCTTGTTCCTGAAGGGCCAGTGAGAGGCCCTTGGGGGACCGAGAGTCCCGGGGTGAGTAGTGAGCAGCCCTGGCTGCTGGTGCCCCACTAGGATCATGGCTCCAGCCACTGAGCACCCACAGACTGGGTGGGGAGAGGGCTCAGACTCTGGGCTCTGGGGCTGCCCCGCCCCTCCCTGCCGGCCCCGCCCCACTCACCTATAGTTGGTGCTCCTTATGGGCACCCAGGTGTAGTTCCGCACCACCTCGTCTACGTACCTCTGAGAGAAGAGGCTGGGTCAAGTACTTGGGCCAGTAGGCAGGGGTGGGATGGAGTGCGGGAGGATGCCCACCCTGACTCTGTCCCCCTCCCCCATCTTCTCACCTCGTCCAGGGACTTGACCAGTGTTCTGATCTGCTTGTGGCCCTTGTTGCCATCGATCATGCTCCGACGGATCTGAAAGGGCCAGAGACGTGAGGAGTGCGGCCCCTACTCTCGGCTGCTCTGGGTGCCGCCATCCATACTCCCCTCCTTGCCCTCACCTCCTCCTTGTTCTCATCCTCCAGCTCAGCATCCAGGAAGTCCAGAGTCACTGGCTCCCGGAAGTTGGTGGTCTGTGGGAGGCAGGGCAGGAAGTCAGGGGTCCCTATCTTGTAGGGTTTACCCTCCTCCTGACTGCCCCTGGCTCACCTGGGACTTGAGGTTGGGGTGCAGCAACACATAGCCGTTCAGGTCAATGGCAAACACGTAGCCGTTGGCTCCAAGCTGGGGGTGTAGATGGAGGGGCTCAGAGCCTGGAGGGCCGGGCAGGGATTCCCCAGCCTCTCGAGCTCTTCCTCAGCCTGCTTTCCATACGACTGAGGGCTGCCGTGTGCCTGCCTGGGCCAGGGGCCCCCACATGCCACGTGGCCTTGAACCTATTTCTCAAGTCAAGCCCAGCACGCTGGCGTCCCTTGTTGAGGCTGATGGGCTCCATGGGACCACGAATCGATTTGGCCTTCTGCCCCCATGACTCCTGGTTCTCTTGGAGCTGTCAGTCGGCCAGACTGCTCTGTCTCCATTGGCCCCTCAGCGCCGCCGTCTCCTCCCTGCACCCCCACTTCCGCCTCCTCCTGGTCCCCATCTCAGTAGAGTGCCGAGGGAGGAGGGTACCCCGTCCAGACAGAAGTGAAGGAGGAGTGAATGGGACCCTGGGCTCACCCTTAGCTCTCTAGGCTGCTTTCTCACTGAACATGGAGGCCAACCACACGGGGCCTTCGGGTCGAGGCAAGCTATCACACATGTCTCATCCCCCACCCCTTTCACAACCAAGACTGAAGCTGCCTTCGCCACAGGCCCTGGGCCAGCCACACTGACCTTGCACCTCCCCTGGTTTCTGATTTTGGTTTTCACCTTCAGTCCTTTGCTCAGAGAGTTTCCTGTAACTCCAAGGTATGCCTCCTGTCTATCCGACCATCCAGGGGTTGGCAAACTACAGCCCCATGGGCCATACCTGGCCCATCACCTGTTACTGTATGGCCAGGAATATTTTTTACATTTCTTTTTTTTTAAAGATTTATTTATTTATCTGAGAGCGACCTAGCAAGCGTGCATACAAGTGGGGGAGGGGCAGAGGGAGAGAATCTTCAAGCAGACTCCCTTGCTAAGCGGCCTATGTGGGACTCTGAGCTGAAACCAAGAGTCAGACACTTAACCAAGAGCCCCTGTTTTTTTGTTTTTTTTTGTTTTTTTACATTTTTAAGTGGTTGAAAAAGATCATGATGTGAAAATTAGGGGAAATTTAAATTTCAGTATCCACAAACAGAATTGTATTGGAACACAGCCGTGCCCATTTATTTGTTTTATCTGTGGCCGTGCTCAGTACAACAGCAGAACTGGGTATGAGTATTTACACTGGCAGAGCCTAAAATATTCATAGTCTGGCCCTTCACAGAAAGTTTGCTGACCCCAGCTCTAGGCCCAAGGTCACCTCCTCCAGAAGCTTTCCCTGACTGACTGAATTCACAGGTCTCTCTGGAGGTGCTATAGTCCCCATCAGACATCTCTGCTGAGCCTGGCTTGCGTCCACGTGGGAGGCAGAGCTGGGTGGATGGGCAGATGGACACTTACTGTGTAGTTTGGAGTCAGCCTCTTGATGTCATTCAGAGCCACATCGATGCCCATCACACCCAGGATCAACTGGTTCTGGGAGCAGAGGCATGGGGTCTGCAATGGGCTCAATTCCACAGGGGAGCCCCACTGTCCAAACCTCATGCCCAAGGCCTTAATCTGCTCACAAGTAGTTGCCTCTGTCCAGTCTGAAGGCCGGCCTGTCCCTCTGCCAACCCAGGCCTGCCAGGGGCATGCCCGACCCCCTCAGGCATGCCCAGCCCTTCCCTGGTGGGGAACCTTACCTTTTTCTCCCCAGGGCCATCCTGTGTCAGGTTGAAAACAGGGAGGGTCCCTGTCACCACCAACCCCAGCCCCTGAAGGGAGAGGAGGATGACAGGTTAGTCTCCTGTGGCCAGCCATGCCCCACCCTCAGTGTCCAGAGAATGGGCTCAGGCACAGGCCCCTTTTTTTCTTCTCTGTTTGGTTTACTCCCATAAGGGGGCCCTTAAGGAACTTGACCTTGTGGGCACATCTGTGGGGGCCCAGCGGCCTTACCAGAGCATCCTCATACACGTTGGTCCATTGCACCTGCTTGGCTTCCTTGCCCGCCAGCACCATGGGCCTGCCCAATACATCCAAATATTCCTGGGGAGAAGGTGACTGGGGTCACAAGTCCACCTGCCCACTGCATCTTCCCTGTTCTGCCTCCCCATATATAAGCCAGCCACCAGGGGGCGCTCTCACACCACAGCAGCCCTTCATTCACACTGTGCCCAGGAAGTAAGGGGCTGGGAGGAGGGGGAAGGCCCTAGGGTCTCACCTGCGTGTTAATGCGGATGGCTCCAATGGAAGGGATCTCAAAATAGTAACCTGTGAGGGAAGGTGAGGCAGAGGTGGGTCTGGGTGGTACTTGGGACCCATGGCACAGGGGCTCCCGTACCCCAGGCTGTGTCCAGGCCCCCTCACTTTCTGGTGTCACTCCTCCCAAGCTCCTATCCCTTTAGTGCTCCCTTCCCCTGTCCTGTCAAGGGTGCTGATGCTAGGGAAGGGGCCATGAGTGTAGGGGTGTAAGGAAGCAGAGGCAGGGTGAAGGGACGAGCCTAAGGCTGAAGTCCCTCATGCCGGGATGGTGGTGACATTCAGAGTTCACCCAGGGGCCAGGCCCACATGCATGAAGTGGTAGCTTGACCAGCAAACAGACAACGGGAGCAGATAAGCCAGGAGATGGATGGACAACGGAGAGACAAATGGGCAGAAAGATGCTCAGTCAGATGGACAAGTTACATGGCCAGACAGAGAGATGGACAGTCACACGCATAGGAAGATGGATGGTGGGTAAACAGGCAGCTTGAAAGCTGGACACATGGATGGACAGGTGGACAAGCAACGTGAAGGCCAGCAGGGCACGGCTGGCAGCCCTGGGGCGGGGACGCTGGACGAGGTACCTTTGTTGGCGCAGGCCATCCACTGCAGGGGCGTGACGTCATAGTTGTGTTGCCCCACGGAGAAAGTGAACACGCGCACCTATTTGAGGCTTGAGGTTACTGCTGTGGCCACAAGAGTACAGCCCTCCCCGGTACTGGGCCCAGGTCAGGGGGTCCCCCACCTGGGCTGAGCCTCACCGTCCGGTTGGGCCAGTTGTACTTCTCAAAGACATCCTGCACGCGGTCCTCACCGCCGTCCGTGAACATCATGATCATCTTATTGCAGTTGGCACGGGTGATGTTGGACTGGTCGGGGGTAGGTTTGGGGTCAGCAGCTCTCAGCCCCTCCCTGGTCCAGGGTAAGTCTCCCTCCCCCTGGAAGGCCCGGCCCTCAGGCCCTCCTCCCCACAGCAGATGGTGCTATCTGCCTGAGCTGCCTGTTGGGCACTAACAAGGCCATTCGTCTTGATTTCCCTGGTGTCACCAAGCCTGGGCCTTGGCCTGTCCCCAGCCACCCGCTCATCCACCCACGGCGCTCACGTTCTGCAGCTGGTCGAAGGCGTACTCAAAGCCGGCCTTGTAGCCTGTGGTGCCCTTGGCCACCATGCCCTGCACGGCCTCCTTGAACACCTTCTTGTTACGCACATTGGCCTGCACCAGGTGTGTGAAGCATGACACAGGCTGCGCCTTTTCGTTGAACTGCAGGGACAGGGCGGGTGGTGAGTCACTGAATGCCCCCACCACTCAGGCTGGCCGGGGCATTCGGCACCGGGTGCGGTGACCCATTCCTCACCCGCCTGCCACCTTGGCACTCACCGAGGCCACGTTCACATAATCGTCATCCGAGAGCGTGTCCAGCATCTCACAGACAGACGTCTTCATCAGCTTCAGGGTCAGGCCGCTCACGCTGCCGCTCCTGGGAAGGTCATGGAGGTGCCAGGTAGGCCTCAGGTGTTCTCCTGCTGTTCCCTCATGAGGGTCCCAGGTGGCAGATTCTCTCCCACCCCCACCCCTCCTGCAGGCATCGCTCACTCACACATCCACGATGATGACCATGTCCTTGGGCGACGAGGCCCCCTGGATGTACCTGCCCGGGAGAAGTGTCAGTTAGGGCCAGCCTCACTAGGACCTTGTGGGTCCTTTCTTCCTTCACCCACATATTGATTCAATGTGTTTCTACTGAGCATCCACCGCATGGGCCAGACAGCGTTCTAGGCACCGAGGATACCACATTTAATAAAACCGTCCTGGGGCGCTGGGTGGCTCAGTTGGTTAAGCGACTGCCTTTGGCTCAGGTCATGATCCTGGAGTCCCGG